TATGAATAGTAAATGATAAGTTACGGAAATAACCCATGAACTATTTGCCACTTGTTAATTTTGGAGGTAACTTTTCCACAGATGTAATCAATTGCTGAGTTTTTTTTTTTTGATGGGTTGTCTTAAATTTTCTAAACATACGCATATGTTTATTTTCGAAATCAATATGAAAATATCGTATAAGTCACGATTTTCATGGATACTGACGTATTTAATGGGTTTCAATATTCATTTTAAGTTACATAGTATTTTGATTTTACCATTATACTCTTAATAAAAATAATCTAATCTAAGGGTTAACATGTTGATTTTCGAAAAATATGATTTCTTACATATTATCTTTCTAAGGGAGGAAGAAGTCAATCCCTTCCAACCCACTCAACTCACTGTCACATCAACGCCACATCAGATTTTCTCTTTCTTTTCTCTTCCAACCCTCCCAACCCACATCACATGGAAACTCTATCTTTCTCAACACACTAAATTTTCAATTTTAAAATAAATACATACTAATTAAAATCATTCAAAAATAATTAACAAAAATATACAAAACTAATTCACAAACTAATAAAAAACATAAAAACACAAATTGATACAAGTTTTTTTGCTTGAGGTACCATTAAGTAATACAAACAATTATACATGTTCTTGTATTGTTTTATTAAAAATAATAATAATAATAATAATAATAATAATAATAATAATAAAGAAAGGGACGTAAAACAAAAAGTGGCAGCTTTTAATCATTCACAATTCACTTCACTATGTTTGAAATGAAAATAAAATAACACTATGATATATTTTGCATCACAAAAGGATGGGTGGGTTCACCAAACCGCCAACATGCAATAAACAAGTTGGAACCGCAGGTGCAAGGTATCATATCTATGCTTTACCGCCGGTACAGCCGGGTCCCAATTCCCAAACCACTTGTGACTCCGTCCTCCCTAACATGTATGTTCCTTCTTTAAATTACTAGTTATCTTTTTAATACAGTTTGTTTCATGAAACATGGACCAATAAGACATACCCTTTTAGATATTTATTTACTTTTGACTTTTAAGCGTTGTGTTCATGTGACCCGATCTTTGTTTTATACATATCTTTTTCAGCCACTATCTTACCATATTATTTGCATGCTTTATTATCTTCTGGAATAATTAAATATTATATGATGTAATAGACGTAGACTCTCACCAAAAATAATGTACCATCAAAATTCAACACATTGTAATACACTTTATAATATGAGTTTTATTGAAATTATAAATTTAAAAAGAAAGAAAGAAAAAAACTGGAGCATCATCGTGTGATGCAGCGGAAGCGGAAACTAGGAAGGATTAAATGAGAAAAATAGCAACGTTTCAATTGATATTATGAAATTTATTAGAATATTGATTGAAATCGCAATTGTGATTTGTGATTATTTTTATTTGTTCATACTAAATTGTTTATTATTTTATATATATAAATATAAATTTATCGATTTTTCGTATTTTGATGATACTTTGTGTTGAGATAAATGGTTAATGATTTAATGGGTAACCAACATTGATTTTTGTTCATATTTTGGTAATCATGTTTTTGGTGTATGGTATATACGGTTGACCAGTAAACTTGTTTGATAAGTTTAAAGTAGTGTAATATTATTGATAATTAATGGTGATATTATCCTATTATGAATATGTCAAAAAAAAATTACTAGTCAAATGTATACAAAAAATACATGGTTATCTAAATGTTCACAAAAAAACAAAGTCGTTACCCATTTAGCTCATTAACCCTATAGAAAATGACAATACTCTTCCAAGTGACCATTCTGAACTCTAACTTATTTTGAACCTCCATATATAAATCAAAGTCCAAAATATAGGGAAAAAAAACTAAAGAAATTTGATGAGATGAAGAATGAATTTTTCCTTGGCTGAACATACTATGAACCATGTTATTTTTATGTATTTTGTTGTGCGATTTATAATCAAATAGGCGAAATTTTAGCTCTTGAATGCAAATACTTATGGAATGTGTGCACCTTACGGACTGTGTATTTTATTTTTTGTATTTACGTTGTTAGTGTGTTTTTGTGGGTGATGATGTTAGGTCTATTAACATGACCTAAACAACATGATCATACTACATGACAACATCACATGATTGCACCGTATGACATCACACACCACCCAACAGCATTGTCTGACAGCACAACCTAACCCCTGACTAGCTGAACCTAAACCTGATTGGCCAAAGTCTGTCCTAATTGTTCATTGACCTGACTCTATAGATAGAACATCTCCTCCTTTACGAGGAAGATCTCTCATTTTCATATATGAGCCTCCACTATATACATACACTTATCCTACAAAGATGGTTCTATAAATCTAAGAGAAACCATCTTCTCATACACATTGATCTAACTTGATCATCAGAATTTGCTCATGAGGTACAATCCCAGGGGGTTCTAACAGTTTTGTTCTCCAATGGCAGCTAGGAATCAAATCGGAAACTCGCTAACGACACCTACTCCAGATCTATGATCCAGATCCGACACCAAAACCCGATGACCCAATTATATGTCACATTAGTGAGTCTTATGACTATTTACACTTAGCATAAAGAACCCACTATTACAAAAATTGTGTCCGAATATGAAGAACATGTATAGAATAGTATGTATATTTAAGTTTGCCAGGGTGTCGTACACGTTTAATCGTTTATACCAGTTCATAATAAGATAATATCACCGGTAATCATAGTGATATTACCCAATTAACCTTAAGATAAATTACTAACAACATATCAGTGAACTTGATCATTTATGATAGTTACAGTAGTGTAATAAGTGTTGAAAATCGGATGATATTTAGGATATCATACTCAATGAAAAATGACATATAATTTATTAATTTAATGTGTGTTGAATGTCCGTAAAACATCATATTTAAGTAGTATAATATACATAAAGCATACTTCATGACAATATAAAGAAAAAACACTTTTTAGCGGAAGCGGAAACTAGGAAGGATTAAATGAGAAAAATAGCAACGTTTCAATTGATATTATGAAATTTATTAGAATATTGATTGAAATCGCAATTGTGATTTGTGATTATTTTTATTTGTTCATACTAAACTGTTTATTATTTTATATAGATAAATATAAATTTATCGAATTTTCGTATTTTGATGATACTTTGTGTTGAGATAAAGGGTTAATGATTTAATGGGTAACGAACATTGATTTTTGTTTATATTTTGGTAATCATGTTTTTGGTGTACAGTATATACGTTTGACCAGTAAACTTATTTGATAAGTTTAAAGTAGTGTAATATCATTGATAATTAATGGTGATATTATCCTATTATGAATATGTCAAAAAAATTACTAGTCAAATGTATACGAAAAATACATGGTTATCTAAATGTTGACAAAAAACAAAGTTCGTTACCCATTTAGGTCATTAACCCTGTAAAAAATGACAACTCTTCCAAGTGACCCATTCCGAACTCTAACTTATTTTGAACCTTCATATATAAATCAAAGTCCAAAAATAGGAAAAAAAAACTAAAGAAATTTGATGAGATGAAGAATGAATTTTTCCTTGGCTGAACATACTATGAACCATGCTATTTTTATGTATTTTGTTGTGCGATTTGTAATCAAATAGGCAAAATCTTAGCTCTTGAATGCAAAGACTTATGGAATGTGTGCACTTTAAGGACTGTGTACTTTATTTTTTTGTATTTACGTTGTTAGTGTGTTTTTATGGGTGATGATGTTAGGTCTATTGACATGACCTAAACAACATGATCATACTACTTGGCAACATCACATGATTGCACCGTATAACAGCACACACCGCCCAACAGCATTGCCTGACAGCACAACTTAACCCCTGACTAGCTGAACCTAAACCTGATTGGCCTAAGTCTGTCCTAATTGTTCATTGACATGACTCTATAAATAGAACATCGCCTCCTTTATGAGGAAGATCTCTCATTTTCAGATATGAGCCTCCACTATATACATACACTTATCCTACAAAGATGGTTCTCTAAATCTAAGAGAAACCATTTCCTCATACATATTGATCTAACTTGATCATCATAACTTGCTCATGAGGTACAATCCCAGGGGGGTCTAATAGTTTTGTTCTCCAATGGCATCTAGGAATCAAATCGAAAACTCGCTAACGACACCTACTCCAGATCTATGATCCAGATCCGACACCAAAACCCGATGACCCGATTATATGTCACATCAGTGAGTCTTATGACTATTTACACTTAACATAAATAACCCACTATTACAAAAATTGTGTTCGAATATGAAGAACATGTATAGAATAGTATGTATACTTATGTTTGACTGGGTGTCGTACACGTTTAATCGTTTATACCAGTTCATAATAGGATAATATCAACGGTAATCATAGTGATATTACCCAATTAACCTTAAGATAAATTACTAACAACATATCGGTGAACTTGATCATTTATGATAGTTACAGTAGTGTAATTAGTTTTGAAAATCGGATGATATTTAGGATATCATATTCAATGAAAAATGACATATAATTTATTAATTTAATGTGTATTTGAATGTCCGTAAAACATCATATTTAAGTAATATAATATACAAATCATACTTCATGACAATGTAATGAAAAAACACTTTGTAGTGATATAAGTAAAACCTAATTTGATACGGAAAAAATATCATATGATAACAACAAATTTATATCAGTTTGTATATAAATATATAAATCCAAGACAAACTCAAGTAGTCAACCAACTATTAGCTTTCAACTATAGCATCTAATTTCCAATTTCCAACTAAATTTTTTCTTCCAAAATTTGTTTTATATTCAAAGAACAGTGAAAACATATACTGTTTTATACTATGTACTTATGTAGTATTTAGGCCCACAGCGAAAGCCCATATTCTCCCCTGATCATTACACTATAAATTGCTTCCTTCTTCCTTTCGTCTGCTCACAAGCGAAGCTTTCACTGGTAAAACCCTCTTTCAAAACCCAAAGAAAAGCTCCAACGCGCATAAAAAATGGAATCATCGGGTTCTTCTCCATTGTCTCCGATTCATTTTGCATTAGCAACTTTATTTGGTGCTTCAGTAATGGCAATCTCAGCCTTTTATATACACAAGCGCAGTGTTGATCAAGTCATCGACCGACTCATCAAGCTCCGTCGACGGCCCGATCGTCTTTTAACCGACCACGAAGATTTCTCTGGATACGAAGATGGAGATATTGATACTGATGATAGAGTTTATCTTGATGACGACGACGATGATGATGGTGATGATTATGTGAGGAATACTCATGCTTATGGTATGTCGTGCTCGTTGCCGAATGTAGGGCTGGCTAATGAATGGACGAGTGAGAATGCGAGTAAACCGGTGTCGTTTGGTTCATTGGAGAAACTTATTTCGGATAACTTGCCACCTCTTCGAATGAATCAGAGACAAGGTACGTTTCATTTTCATTTTGTATATTCGCACTCGTAATTTCATTACAGTATTAGGTTATAACATTTGTGATCAATGGAACTTCATCTGTAATTAATTCGTAATTTCAGTACAGTATTCGCAATTTTGGATAATTTTTCCGATGGAAAAGAAAAAGAAACGAATCTATTGTTTATCTCTTCATATTCTCCAATAGAACAGATTGAATTTGAACCTAAGCTGAGCTGCAAGCCCTTAGGTTCCATGGATTTTTCAGGATGAAATTAAGAAAACAGATTGGGTATTTAGTATAGACTTGCACAAAAACTAGTATTGTGTGTTGAATCTGCTCAGAAAGATCAAAGTAAAGTTTCAGTTCTGTTATGCAGGAGATCATCACCATGATAATCAATCTAACCCTAAGATGAGAGTTGGTTCTTATGGTAGAATTCATACACCAAGATCACCAGCTAGCTATGCATATGATGGTGCTGACAATTCTGATGATGATGGAACTGAGACTGCTGTTGGGGAGGACACTGAGTATTTTGATGAAGGCATAAACTCTTCAGCAAATGTAATTTCAAAAGTATTTAATCTTTTTAATAAACTATTTTCTTACTTTACTATCCATTCATTCCATATTTTCTACTTATCTTATTTCAGGATATATACTCAAACATTCAAAGTATGTCATTGGTTCCTACACAACCTGAAAATGCAAACAATGATCTAACTAATTTACATAGGAAAGTTGCTAAAGAAGTCAACTCAACTGTTGACCATGGCAATGAGAAGGTGGAACTTTTTTCAGAGAACAACATTCCAGTCAATGATGGCAACAACATTTTACCTGAAGCAACAATGATGAAAGGTAACTAACTTTCTTCCTATTCTTCCCTTTGTTACTTTAATCTTTGATCTTTTAAACAAATATAATCATTATTAACTTCTTCTTTATTTTCTGTATCAAGAGTCATTGAATCATGAAGAGGAAGAAGTTCGGAAAATGATACGCGAATGTTTAGACTTACGCGATAAATATGTTTTTAGGGAAAAGAATATTCCATGGACACATATGGAAGACTCTTCTTTATCTATTAAACATGACAAAAATGACCCCTTTCGATTTATACCAGTTGAATCAACTAAAGTAAGTTTCCCTAACCCTAATTTCCAATGAATTCAACAAATTAAATCAGTTATTTTATCATTTCTTGATTTTCTTACCCTTTTGTTAAAAATTTTCAATCAGCACCATTTCAAGATGGAAGATGGAGTTATACATGTCTATGCAAGTGAAAATGGTAAGTCTGTTAATTAAATTACGATTTTACCCTTATACTAATGTTTTTTTTTTTTTTTTTTTTTTCAATTCTCAGATTCTGTTGATCTCTTTCCTGTTGCAAGTGCAACAACTTTTTTCACTGACATGCATCACATTCTCAAAATAATCTCTGTTGGAAATGTTCGTTCTGCATGTTATCATCGATTAAGATTTCTTGAAGAGGTAAAGTTTTCTGATATTCTTTAAAACTTCATTCATTTGATTTGATTTGTGTGAAATTACGATTTTACCCTTATCCAATGCAGAAATTCCATCTTCATCTGTTAGTGAATGCAGATAGTGAGTTTTTAGCTCAAAAAGGTGCCCCTCATCGTGACTTTTACAACATTAGAAAAGTTGACACTCATGTTCATCATTCTGCTTGCATGAATCAAAAACACCTTTTGAGATTCATTAAATCCAAATTAAGAAAAGAACCTGATGAGGTATGATATTTATAAACCATTTATTATCCAATTGTTATCAATTTGAGTTCAAATATCTATATTTTATTATTTATAAATTATAATGGATAATGTTTTGTAGGTTGTTATATTTCGTGATGGACAATATCTGACACTGAAAGAAGTCTTTGAGAGTTTGGATTTAACAGGGTTGGTAGTAAAGTTTATTAATTTATAATTTTATTTTTTTGTTTAATTACTAAAAAATTAATTTTCAGGTATGACCTTAATGTTGACTTATTGGATGTCCATGCGGATAAAAGTACATTTCATCGATTTGACAAATTTAACCTCAAGTATAATCCCTGTGGACAGAGTAGACTCAGAGAAATCTTTTTAAAGCAAGATAATTTGATTCAAGGTTGTAAAAAATTAATATAATTTCCATGTTGTTGACAAATTTTTTTATATATTTTTGTTTAACTGATTATATTTATAGGTCGTTTCTTGGGAGAGTTGACAAAGCAAGTTTTATCAGATCTTGATGCAAGTAAATACCAGGTGTGGTTACTTACTTAAATGCTTAAATTACTGAAATTCTGAAATGAACTAAAAGTGTAAAATGACCATAATGCCCTTTTTGTTCCAGGTGGCGGAGTATAGGGTTTCCATATATGGAAGGAAGCAAAGTGAATGGGATCAGTTAGCAAGTTGGTTCATCAACAATTCAATTTACAGTGAGAATGCTGTTTGGCTTATTCAAGTATGTTTTCATTCCTCATTTTCTCAAATTCATTAAAAAATAAATCAAAAAACTTGGCAAATGGGAAAGTAATTGCAAAAAGCTCAATGAAGGATATTTTGGTCTTTTTACAAAATTTGCAAACCAAACACAAAACAAGAAAGAATCTCATTCGATTTCATTCTTTCCAAAAACATTAAGCCAACCAAACACCCCCTGAGTGTCAATTCATTATTCATGCATATTTGACCATTTTACCCTTGGTCAGCTTCCACGACTCTACAACATATACAAAAGCATGGGAACAGTGACATCCTTCCAGAACATTCTAGACAACGTCTTCATTCCACTTTTCGAAGTCTCAGTTGACCCAAAATCTCACCCTCAACTCCACATTTTCCTTATGCAGGTAAATAAATAAATATAATATTCGAAATATTAATTTCCATAATTTAATAAAATAAAATATATATTTTACAGGTAGTTGGGCTTGACCTTGTGGATGATGAAAGCAAACCCGAAAGGAGGCCTACTAAACACATGCCAACACCATCTGAATGGACAAATGACTTCAATCCTTCATACTCATATTATGCTTATTATTGCTATGCTAATCTCTATACATTAAATAAAGTAGGTGTTTTATTTTTTTAGTAAGATATAATATTTTGATATTTTTGTTATTACCCATTTTTACTTTTGATTGTTTAACATTTATATTTTAATTATCTCAGCTCCGTGAATCTAAAGGACTGCCAACAATCAAATTGCGTCCTCATTGTGGAGAGGTTATTTGATTATTATTATTCTTTTAATAATTAAACTTTTTTATATTCTAATTTATGATTAAAATAATTTTAGGCGGGTGATATTGACCATTTAGCAGCTGGGTTTCTTCTATGCCATAATATTTCACACGGGATCAATCTACGGAAATCTCCCGTATTGCAGTATTTATATTATCTTGCTCAGGTTACTTGCCTCAATTACTATTTACAAAATTCAAAACATTTCATTTTATATTTAATTTAATAATTAAAAATTTTAATTTTCCAGATTGGATTGGCTATGTCTCCATTAAGCAACAACTCCCTTTTTCTAGACTACCATCGAAACCCATTTCCTATGTTTTTTCAACGAGGGTTAAATGTGTCACTTTCCACGGATGACCCGTTACAAATCCATTTAACAAAAGAGCCATTGGTCGAAGAGTATGGTGTTGCAGCCAAGGTATAGGTGTTTAAATTTGTAATTGGTGAAATTACTATTTTACCCTTGATATATGATTTATGGTTATAGGTTTGGAAGCTGAGTTCGTGTGACCTTTGTGAGATTGCGAGGAACTCTGTATACCAGTCTGGATTCTCGCATGCAGCAAAGGTATTGGTTTTTTTTTTTTTTTTTGGTTGGAAAGATCAAGGAAGGGTAAAATGGGAATTTATTGTTTATGGTTTGTAAAAAATGTAGGCACATTGGTTGGGAGGGAAGTATTTCAAGAGAGGGCCTGAAGGGAATGATATACAAAAGACGAATGTACCCAAAATGAGGATTAGTTTTCGACACCAGACATGGACTGAAGAAATGCAGTATGTGTATTCAGGACGTGCCAAATTACCTCAAGAAGTTGATTTTTAATTGCTGCAACTGCCAAATGGAATTTCAATCACATTATATAATATATTATTATATGTTATGTTATAAACTTATATACTTATCTATCAGTTATAAATCTTATAAAAAGTAGATAAAACTCATTTTTCCATAATTTAAAAGAGTCCTTTTTGAGCACCATAAAGGACTCCTCCCTTAATTTCAACATTAGCCCCATCTATTGTTGCCATAATAATGAGACATCCATTAACCTACAAATTTCATGTTACTATCAATTAATGACTTCCTTCTAACATTATTCCCATTAAAAGGATGGCATTTCTAATGTTCCATAGAATCCATCATTTAGTCAGAATAATCGATTTCAAAGCAAGCCTCTTTGTCATTGAAAGGTTATCTGAGTCGATCCAATGCACATCTTCAAGTGTGGAGAAAACAAGAATAGTAAATAGTAATATCTCACCATTTCTCAACATAAGCCCACAGATGATTGGGGACTTTACATGAAATAAGAAGATGCTTGAGATCTTCCATATCCGAATTAAAATTTACAAACAACACACATCACCGAAGGAAACATCAACTCCTTTCGCATCGAGTTTAGACGAATAGGCAAGCTATTGAGATGACAACGCCGATAAAACATATTATTAATCTTCCTTGGGAGATACTTATTCCATCTAGTTGCAATAGTACAATCCCAAAGAGAGTTACAGTTAAACCCAACAACCTTTCCAAAAATAAGTAGATGCCCTATCATCTACATTTCTTTTGGTAGCATCCCCGTCATTAAACCCGAAGTCACTGATTAATTGAAAAACATTTTATCACCTTACACCATAGAGCTTCACTGCTATTGAGAAAATGCCACTTCTATTTGAAAAGAACAGCCTTAATAAAAACATCCAAAGAACCAATATTCAAACCGCCTTTTTCTTTACTTGCCAAAACACTCTTCCATTTGACTCGATGCAATTTTCAATCACCTTTTTCTACGCTTATTGATATATATATTATGACAAATCACCTTTATCCTGAATCTTGGTTTTGTCTCTATAAGATCAATGGTCAAAGAATGTGTTTTTAGTTTGATTGGTACTAACTTTTTTGGTAATTCAAATTCGATTATAAACAAAGCGTTCTCCTATATGCTATTAACACCAATATGGATGCCAGTTTGGACACGGCCAACATGTCGGGTGTGTGGCTCGACTCTGGCTTGCCATGGTCCGTGATCTCCCCCTCTCTTGCAAAATACTAGTAGCATTATATATATATATATATATATATATATATATATATATATATATATATATATATATATATATATATATATATATATATATATATATATATATATATATATAACCCTTATCATTTTAAACCAAACCAATTCTCTTGAAAATGTCTTCGTCTTCCTCTTTGGAGGAATTTCAATTTATGGTGGAATTTGTCCCTTGAGGTTGGTAAAATGTTGCCGCAAACATACCACATTTTATGCAATAACAAAGCTGAAAATTCTCACTGAAGAGATCGTAAAGTTGCCCACCAACGTTTGATGCAATAATATTTTGACAAGCATGCGGTTTTTCAAGGCTGTTATTTTAGATGGCAGTTCTTAATGTACAAACTATTATATCAACAAATAGTCGAAGATTTGACGAGAGAGTATAATTATTTTCGACAACGTTTCGATGCTAGAGGTACACTCGGTTTCACTCCACAACAAAAATGCACAACCGCATTTCGTCAACTTTCATACGACATCACTGCCAATACTTTGGATGAGGGTTGTAGTAAGTCTTCTAGGACCACACAAGATAGTCTACACAAAATTTGCAAAGTTGTGATTATGATTTACAGTCCACGATATTTACATACACCATGGTTAATATACATGAAGTGATCATGGTCATCCGAAGGTTATACTTGAAGCAGTGGTCTCACATGATTATTGGATTTGACATGCCTTTTTTGGTTCTCCTCGTCCGCTTAACGACATCAACGGTCCTAATCGGTCACCGCTATTCAACAACATATATGAGAGATCTGCACTAGATTCTTCTTTTCAAGTGCATACAACATAGAACGTCATATAAGTATGACTATTATATTGTTGATGAGATCTATCCCGAATATGTATTTGTTAAATCATTTTCCTATCCAAATGATACTAAATTGAGAAAATTTAAGAAAGCTCAAGAGAGAGCTAGGAAGGATGTCGAGCGAGCCTTTGGAACTCTTAAGAAACTTTGTACTTCCTGACAAAGCTGGCACTTTTTGAGAGGGAAAACCTGAAGCGGTAATGAATGCATGTATCATATTGCCTAATATGAATATAGAAGACGAAAGAATAGCGCTATGAGAGTATGACGAGTGTGAAATCATTCCCAAGACACAACCAATAGAGATCGGTGACGATGAGTACATTGAAAGAAGAGTAGAAATACGTAACAATGAAAGTAACGCATCACAATCTTTGCATGAACTTAGTGGAACACATTTACAGGATTCAAAACATTGATCTCAACATGGAACTTGCAAGACGATCTGAAAGAAGAGTTTTCGGATGAAGACTTCATTTAAAATGGTTTAGTTATTTAATTTTGCACTTTTTTTTTATGTTTTTTGTAATTTTAAGTTTTTTATTTTCCCTCTATGTATTTTCTTTATTTCAATGTTTAAATTTAAAAAATTAGTGTGGCATGCCTCATTACCGCTTCTTGTGTGTAGCAAAAAACCATAAATTTTTGTGTAGCAAAAAACCATAAATTTATAAAAATGAGATGATGCTTATATGCTAGAGACAAAATTGCAAATTTGGTCCCTGTGGTTTGTAAAAAACTGTGGATAAGGTCTAAAAAATTTTCAACTTGCATGAAAGTCAAAAATCAAGAATTTTATGTGGTTTTTGTCCCTAAAACATTTAAAAAGACTATTATGCCATTTTATTTTCTTTTTCACATTTCTTTTAATTTCTTTCTTATTTTATTAATATTAAAAATAATTTAAATCCCCACCCAACCCTACCACACCTCTCTCTCTCTCTCTCTTGTTACTTCTTGTAGAAAATTAAACATACGAACATATACACTCTCTCAAAATTAAATCATCTGCAAATCCATCATCTTTGATATAACATATAGAGGAAGAAGAAGAAATTAGGTTCTTGAACCTATTGTAAATCCCCAGAAAAAAACCACAAACACCATTCTCTTATTTAAATCCACATACGTTCTTCGATTATGATTTCAACATTCGTCCTTGTTTTGAAACGACCACGATACCCAATTACACTTCAGTAAAACGATTACTCATGCAATCAATCCTCCACGTGTGTGTGAAGATCGTTATGCTGAAAGAATTAGGTCGGTTTCTTGTCTTCTCACTCTGAATCGATCGCATGTGTGACAACCGTCAATTTTTGGCCAAGTCAAAGTCAACTAAAGTCAACAAGTCAAATCGGTCAACTCATCTAACCCTTGTATATTAGGGTTTCCATTATGATTCTTATTGTACTACTCGCAATCTTAATATAAAGTATCACTTAGAGTTTTCACGTGTTCGGAAATTCTAAACCCTAATCAGGGTAAGTGATGAATCTACTCGATAAAACATTATTCCATACCCCTCGAGAGCGTATAACATTCATAACAAGGCTTAACAGAGTGTAAGAACCTTGCGTTGCGAAGCCAAACACTCAAAAAGGTCACAAAAGAAGTCTCTCCCAATCTCTTTCACTCCAACTCTCCCAAAACTCTCTAAGTAAGAGAAATCTCCCCAAGAATGTGAAATCTCTCCCAAATCTCTCTTTGTATGAGAAATCTATCCAAGAATGTCAAATATCTCCCAAATCTCTCCAAGTATGTGAAATCTCTCCCAAATCTCTCCAAATATGTGAAATCTCTCCCAAATCTCTCCCAAATCTCTCCAAGTATGTGAAATCTCTCCCAAATCTCTCTTTGCATGAGAAATCTCTCCAAGAATGTCAAATCTCTCCCAAATCTCTCCAAGTATGTGAAATCTCTCCCAAATATCTCTCTGAATGAGAAATCTCTCCAAGTATGTGAAATCTCTCCTAAATCTCTCCAAGTATGTCAAATCTCTCCCAAATCTCTCTCGAAATCTCTCTCAACTTCTTATAATCACTCGGGGCATCCCGACCCTCGATTTAGTCAAAAACTGCTCGAAAACGGAAGTCTACGCGAAAAACAGCCTTAAGGAGCCGAACCCTTCTTAGGAGCCGAAACCTTCTTAGGAGCCGAACCTCATCAGAACCGAAACCCCCCCTCAACCGAAATGGACTGAGGGCTCGGTCTATTTCGGTCCCCTGATCATGTTGAACCGAGCCTTCTCACAGAACCGAAAGGCAACAGCCGAGACCGAACCTCGCAGATAGCCACCGAGACCGAGCCTCGCCTTCTGTTCCTTCTCCTCGCACTCTCGGTTCCCTCTTCGCACCTTCGGTTCCTCTTCCCCTTCTCTCGGTTCCTCTCCAGCGACCGAACCCTCCTCTCGGCTCCCACCTACTTTCGGTTCTAAGCATCAGGAACCGAACCTCCGGCCCAGACTTCGGATTTTCGCCTGTTTCCCGGTTTTTGACCATTTTCACGTACTAAGCCCGTTTTTCGTGATTTTAACGCGGGATTTTCTCCAAAAATCATATTTTAACATATAAGACCCTAAATATTCATAATTTAAACATATTTTTATGGAAATCTTTATTTAAAAATAAAATCTAGTGGGGTGAATATTAGAGGTGGAGTGTTGACTTTACCTTAGTGTGTAACATAAGCAACCTCCCATACCCACTCCTTGACCATCCACAGTCACTATTCCACCATACCTAGTTAGTCATTGTCCTCTTCCTACCATAATTCCAGCCATACTCTTGGTCAAGGTCTAGAAAACTCTTATCTCTCCTCACTCTTCTCTCATTCTCCACCAAAGAACAAACACATTTCTCTCTCACTTCTCTCTCTCAAATTCGAGATTCAAGGGTTGATCATCAAGTTTTCTTCCACTTTTGATCTTCGAACCTTCAAGGCATCTTCTAAGTGTTCTTGAGTTGAACACTTCTTTTCTTCAA